CCAAAACCCCAAAACCCCAAAACCCCGAAAGTCGAAATAATGTAATAATAGCAAACTTAAAAATTATCAATCATATTTTATTCCATTATTATGATCATTTATATCATGAGGTAAATAATCAAAATCATACTTTGGCATTCTTGTTTTATTTTATGATTTCTATTGATAACTTGGGATTTGAAATAAATCTTAAGTTTGATTTATAATATCAAATGCAGAGTTATCATTAATGCTATCTGGCTGTTTTATTTCTTCAAATTACTGCCCATTAACTTCTCTATTTTTGTTATTTGAAAAGTCTAAACTATCTCCAAGTGAATCAATATTGTAATTAGTTTTAAGATTTTTTGGCTTTGAAAAAAATAACTCCTAATAGTAATTTATTTAAGATTATAACTTTAATATACCTATTCTTCTTTGCTATTAAAAGAGGTAGCTGTTAGCCTTTTTATTTCTTGTGACTTTTCTTTTAAATGCTAGCCGTATTTTTATTAGTACATCATTTTTCTAAATTTAATCAAATTTTCAAAAACTAATAATCCCATCATAAATAGCATTAATATCAAATTTAACCCCATTAATATTTGAGCTTAAAAAAATTATGGTTAATTAAATTACACTTAGAAATGTCTTTATTCTCATTTTAATATTGAACCATTAGAGCAAGAATTACATAATCAACTAAAATCATTGTCAATGATGTTATGATGAATAAATTAGCTAATAACTTTTTGAAGGGCCTAAATCCTATAAGATAGCACAAAAACTAAAAAATGTTATAAGTTAAGATTAATAGTTACTAAAAAGGTTAAACCTATTATGAGGTATATTGGTCCAATTGTATATTTATATAGAGTACCTTGAATTATCAAAACCAAAATTTGATGAAAACTGAACATAGGCCAAAACTATTAGGCGTGCCATTCATTCTTTAAAGGCTTAAGTAAATGTCTAAAGTGCTATATATGAATTGGGTGGTCTAAATGTCTTCTTAAAGTTTAAACCAAAAATATCTAATGTAAAAGGAACAAAATGCAGACTACAATCATTACAAAAGCCATAAATGCATCAACAATCTCCCCATTACTCCTACAATAAATATATTGTAAAATTTGTCATAGCTTACCCTGATTAATAATTTAAATTAGCAAAAGCAAGCACGGCTGGTATTCCTATAGGAATTAAAGTTACCTGAAATAGCATGAATAATCCAGAGAAATAAAATAATCTAGTGATTTAACTAAGGAATTTGCTCCTCCAAAGAGTGCATTCCTACAGCAAAAAATTTATCATGCTTATAAAGCCGACAGTCATCAAGCAAATTAGCCAGAAAAAGAATTATCCATAAGCATTAATAACAAAATTTCCATATTGGTATTCAGCCAATAAGTAATAATTTTCATTATATGGTTTGTATCTCAATTCACTAAGGAGTATAAAATTTCTTTCAACTAGCAAATTTTTTAAAGCTTACAAAGGCATTACAATATTTTAGAAATGTTTAAAGTAATTTTTCAATTCATCTGTAAGTTAAATATCTTAGCAACCCATATAAAATAGCTATTGAACCAAGATCATAATAAACAGAGATTTTATTGGGGGTTTTCTAAAATAAATAAAGCTTAATAAGTCTAGCCCAATTATGCTTAATGCAATAATCAATGTTATTCTTGAAAATATGTCTGACTAATTAGTCTATTCTGATATTTTTAATGTAATGGCATAATGAGGTTTCAGTAAAGTAGAAATATATATATTGCTCTTGATACTTCTTGAATTTATATCTTTTATTCTTGATGAGATTTTTACCTTGACAGTTAATTTCTATAAAAGATGTGTTGATGAGATTAAAATATACATTATCATAGAATGCTCCACCTTTAATGCTTTCTTAGATTTTCAATTTTATTAGTATTGAATCACTTAACTGATGATTGTCCTTCGGATAAATAAGTGTCCAACTTAATGCTTTTTAGTACTTATTACTATCAGTAATACTTATGTTGAACAGATCTTAAGCTGAGTTAGAAATATCTATAAGTTTGATTAATAAATTAACTAGCTTTACTTAATTAAATAGGTCGTGTAAATTTGACTTCTAGAATACTATTAGAACTGACAGAAGCCGAAAGAAATTCTGTTAAGATATAATCACATCTATCTTTGTTTCCTTCAAATCCTCCAAAGCATCTATAATCTTTTTCAATCAAACATTTTTCATTGCAACCATCATCATTCTTTATATTTCCATCATCACACAAGCTATTGCTATAACTCCTACCATCACCACAAGTATCTAAACATTTCCCCATATTATTTGATTTCATGTAGCTTGATGAACATTTTTAACATTGATCAAAAGAATTTAAGTAAGAGTACCCTGCACAAATAAGACATTTATTCTTCACATTCATATCACATCTATCACAGTTTTCCATATTGCAGGATGTGCATTACTTCAGAGTATCATTATAGTATTCCCCAATGTCACACCCATAAATATCCTGCTCACGAATAGCATTTTACTTTACTTGGTAAATACCTTTATTTAAAGTACTTAATTGATCACTGTTAAAGTTTGGATTATTTGGTTCACAAGAGCGAAAATACTCGTTGGGCTGGTATCCATCTGGACATTGAGCTACGCATTTAGTTCCAAATTCTTTATAACCTTTGTCAGAACAGCTTGAACATTTATCACTGCTTGAATCTTCACAAGTCCAGCAAAGTTCATTACATTCTATAAAACACTTCAATATTTATTTAAAGTACTTTAACATGTTGAAGTTGATGTATTTAGGTAAGTGCCAGGTTTGCAAACACATTAACTATACTAGCTACCAGAGAGAGGTTTCTAAAATTGCCAATATCTTCCTTGAGTTTTGTTACAAGAATAGCACTCTATACTTGATGAGGATTTACAGTAGTCACAACTCATGTCACAATCTAAATATATTATTAACAATTAGCTACTTACTTTTACAAGCATTTGTGCCATCTATATAATATCCCTTTAGCATTGGACAATCAGTATAGCATCCATCAGTAGAATCACAAAAGTCACAAGTTAAACATGTAAGTGATGATAAACTTATAGTCTCAGATAAAGTACTCTAACAGTATGCATGATTTGACAAAGATATTCTTTTTATCGCTCCATTAAACTAATCTCCAATAGTTATGTACCCGTTGAACTCATACTTTATGGCATCTTCTACAAATTTATTTGCAACTTATTTTCCATTTATGAAAACTAAGAGTTGAGTTTACTTAACATTTGATCTTTGATAAGATACAGCAATATTTATCCAATTATATTCCTCGACAAAAAGAAAATTAGTGTCTAAGGCCTTTTAGTTAACATAAGTTCTTAAAAAAGAGTTACTAACAGCAATTCCAACTTTGTATCTTCTATTAAACTCATCTATATTTGAAGTTCTCGTAGAATATTTTCCAAAAATAGGCATTACCAATCCATTGGGAATATCACTTGCATTGCCCATTTTTATCCAGATATCAATTGTGAACATTGGACCAAATGCAAAATACCCATCTGCCAAGAAGTTTTTTCTTTAGAATGTTTAATATCCATAGCCAAATACTACACCAATTCCTGAAAGCATGATTGGGTAGTTTTCTCTGTCATTATATTTAAGCAAGTCATTTGTTCCCGCTTTAACTGTTGCTACTAATTTATCACTAGAAAAACCTGCATTATTGACTAAATTCCACACTTCAATTGTTTAGGGTGGTAATTTATCCAAGCAATCATTGTTATACCCAATATCACATAGATTACAAGTTGCCACAGAAGCCTTAGTACAATCTATGAGATCAGCTATTACTGGTGGAGCAGCAAAATGATCAAAAGAATACACCTGAAAAAGATAAATAAATCCTTTCATACAATAGTCATAGTATCCATAAGTTTCGTAAGGCATCTAGCACCCAAAAATTAGCTCGGTCGTAGTTGGTGTAAAAACATCATTATAAACACCTTATAATATTTTAGTCTAAGATTGATAAGTCCCTGCTGCATAGGAGTTTTTGGATTCATAAATAGTAAAAGAGGTCGTTCCGTCAAAGTTATTCAATACATTAATGCCAATCCATTTCCATCCTGTAGTTATTGTTAAACTTTCAAAGCTCTAAGTATATTTATAGTAATCATTAGATTAATCATTCCATAGATTAGTTGTAATCACAGGATGAGCATTAGAATCGAAACTTAAACAAATTATTGGTTTCCAAGGGTAAACAATTGACGAGTCTTACTGATGGCAGTAAACATAAAAGTCGGATTTTTCACATGAGTAAAAAAATATTGACACAAAGAAAGAATCAGCCCCTATAAAGCTAGGACTCAATTCTTTCTTGATATATTAACCACTGAATTAAGTTCCCCATCCATCTGAAAAGAATGAGAAATCAGCATTTGAAGCTAAATACAAATTATTAATGAACTTCAATTTACCAAAATCGATTTCATAATCTGCTAAAGTTGATACTTATTCTATAGCCTTTTTTGATGAACTTAGTATATTGTCAAACGCATAATTTCGCACTGTTATTGTTTATTTATATTAAAATTTACGTATAGTTAGCAACGCTCTTTAGATACCAAGAGTTAGACAAATTAGGATATACAACTATTTCATTTTTGACATTTTATTAATATCTATAATTAGCATTAATTTCTTTGCATTTTATTCATTAGGGGTTTTGGGGTTTTGGGGTTTTG